CGCTCGGACTATCTACGCTCGGACTATCTACGCTCGGACTACATTTGGACTTGAAACTAGTGGTAATCTTTCAGTTATATATATATATATATATATATATATTTTTATATTAAAACTAGATGGCTCTGCGGGAGGAGAGCGTCGGGGAAATGAGAAGCCTGTGAGCGAGTTGGGGGCGGGGCTTAACATTCAAACCTTGTAGAAACGGGTATAGCTAGAAGTAAAACTATACAGATAATTTCATGCTGGTGTGCTGGGTCCATCTGTCCGCCCGGTTGAGTCTTCTCGGTTGAGTCTTCTCGGTTGAGTCTTCTCGGTTGAGTCTTCTTGGTTGAGTCTTCTCGGTTGAGTCTTCTCGGTTGAGTCTTCTTGGTTGAGTCTTCTCTCCCTGAATACACATATGCCGGTGTGTATAATATAATACCGGTGGCGAGGTCTCTTTCCCTTTAATTACAGCCGATGCATTTCCTCGCTCCAGCTCCTTGTGCGTTCCGTGGCACATCCGCAGTCTCCTTGTCACTTTCTCCCATTACATCCATTCCTCTTTGTTTCCCGTGTAAAACATCAGTCACTTTAACGCGCCACTGGCATTAATTCTGCATCATTGTAGCAGCCCTCCATCTATTTCAATACCAGCCGCTCCGGACGCCGCTCGTCACGTTTATAGAGACACATTGATGGAGTTTGCAGTAAAGTGGTGTTTTCCTGCTTGTGTGTTTTGTCGTATCCGGGTGGCAACATACATCAAAGTTTAATCTTTATCGTCTTTTGAATAGTGGGGATTGACAAAGATGGCAAAGCTGGATGTGAATAATGCAGACAGAGCAGGAAGTGGGCTCTTCTCCTCAGACCTGTGCAAAGCCGCTGATAAAGCCACAGCTCCGGGCTCTGAAAAGACTTTGCTCGATCACTTTAGTTTCAGTTGTTGCCAAGTGATGTCTTTTTAAAGGGGTGTCCAGACATTTTAGTCCAGGATCAGTCCAGGGTCAGTCCAAGACCAGTCCATGACCAGTTCAAGACCAGTCCAAGACCAGTCCAAGATCAGTCCAGGACCAGTCTAGGACCAGTTCAAGACCAGTTCAAAACCAGTCCAGGGTCAGTCTAAGACCATTTCAGGACCAGTCCAGGATAAGTGTAAGACCAGTCTGAAATCAGTCCATGACCAGTTCAAGACCAGTCCAAGACCAGTCCAAGATCAGTCCAGGACCAGTTCAAGACCAGTTCAAAACCAGTCCAGGATCAGTCTAAAACCAGTCCAGGATCAGTCTAAAACCAGTCCAGGATCAGTCTAAAACCAGTCCAGGATCAGTCTAAAACCAGTCTGTAATCAGTCTAAAACCAGTCTGTAATCAGTCCAACACCAGTCCAAGATCAGTCCAAGATCAGTCCAGGACCTATCCAAGACCAGTCCAGAACAGAAGCCAAAGACAATCGTTTAACAGGAAACCGAAAATGGCGAGATTTTACTGTTAGTTTTTGATTGGCTGCGTGACAGATTCTCAGGAATGTGATGAATATGTAAATCCTCCAATGTGTAGATAATGCTGAGTAATCCCAGCCTCCGACCACGACACACACATCTGACGTGTGTGTGTTTGTCAGAATGACCACGACACACACATCTGACGTGTGTGTGTTTGTCAGAATGACCACGACACACACATCTGACGTGTGTGTGTTTGTCAGAATTACCACGACACACACATCTGACGTGTGTGTGTTTGTCAGAGTGCTCAGGGAGAGGCAGATCTGATGCAGTCTCTGGTCCCGGTGCGAAGCAGAGAGAGCGCGGTGACACCGAGGAGACAGCCTCACGCCGTCTCATCTGCAGCAGACGAGACCAGAGCGAGACCAGAGCGAGACCAGAGCGAGACACGATGATGCAGCAGAAACACAGATGATGTCGCTCTGTGCGGTCGCTCCGGTCGCCGCTTCAGACGCAGCTTCAGACGCCGCTTCAGACGCTGCTTCAGACGCTGCTTCAGACGCCGCTCAGAGGGATAACGTTAAGAAAGAGGTCGCATTCGTTGTGGACATTTTGCTTCTTTCAAAGGCGTCTCGTGACTTTGCCGCTTCAGATCTCAGACTTTACCCACAGAGCAGAGATTGTTCATGTGAATGCTGTCAGGTTGTAAAGGGCTGGGACTTTCTATTTGATTTGATTCGATACAATATCAAGATAAAGAAAATAAATGAAAACGATGTTGCCGACTTTTCTAATGCTACACCCAAAAAACTGTTATTGTCGTCAAAATATATAGTTTTATTTAAAGTATATAGTTGTTGTTTTGTGTTTTACAATTGTTATTTTTTTTGCTTTTTTTTGCCTGAGATGTTGCTGCAGTTCATGGTTTTACCCTGGTCCAGACCATGCAGACCAGAGAGGATTCATGGTTTTACTCTGGTCCAGACCATGCAGACCAGAGAGGATTCATGGTTTTACTCTGGTCCAGACCATGCAGACCAGAGAGGATTCATGGTTTTACTCTGGTCCAGACCAGAGTAGAGAGGATTCATGGTCCGAACCAAGTGGATCAGGTGAAAATCCACTGGAGGAATGATAACTTTTATAAAAACGTTTACAAAGAATTCAGAATTTTACTTTGGACCAGAGCAGAGAAAATGTTCTGAACCAAGTGGCTCCACCTCTGCTGCTGTGACCTGACGGACTGTTGTATTTTAATATTATTGTTAGATACTTTTAGAACTATATATTTATTTGTTTTGTTTGGATGGATGAGTTTCTGCTGCTTCTGGGCACCTGCATTTATCCTACAGGGATCTATAAAGTATCTGTCTGTCTATAAACAATATCTCCTGTAAAGTAAACGTCCAAAACAGTCACATTCGTAGTAATAGCCTGGCTTCCCCCTGTGCTCTTAAACGCCTCTGTTGGCCTTGTCACAGTAGGATCCAGCGTAACTGTGGTAGAAATGAATTGGTCCAGTCGCTCCAATCTTTTTCTCACACATCCATGGGAGCACCAGGGTTTACAGGTGTCAGGGCTGGACCATTATTCAATCCACAGAGCCACATTCAGACATTGTTTTCATGTGATTTCCATTTAATTCATCTGTTTATCGTGGGAGCTACTTCTGTGCCATTGTCTGAAATAAATGAAAAATGAAATGAAATGTTTTGGATAAACACAAATATTGACAGAGGAGAGAAAATCCTGAAGATATTTAACATTATCTTTGTGTGTGTTAGCTCATATTTTACATCAGTGGATATCATTATTTTAACCTTTTTATAATTTAGGAGCAACTTTGAGGACATTTCAACATTTTCTATTCACTTAAAAATATAATGATTATAAACGTGTCTTTCGATTTCTATTCTCACTTGGATTGAACCAATGCTGGAATAAGGCAAAAGAAGGCTAAGGATTATTATTGTTTTTTTTATTATTATTATATTATTTTTATTTGTATTATTGTTATTATTTTTATTGTAATTGTTATTATTATTATTTATTTTTTTATATTCTTTTTATATCCATCCATCCATCCATTTTCTACCCTTTAATCCATTTCTGGGTCAGGGGGGTGGCAATCAGAGATGCCACCCAAGTCTCATAGCACCGGCCCCTCACTGACCCTCTGCAGGTGGTGAGTCCACAGGAGGACGGCTGCTCTCTGACTGTGAGCATAGCCTTGATCTTTCAGTGGGGGCTTTGGGCAAAGTGGGGTTAAGTGTCTTGCCCAAGGACACAACGACAGCAGTCATCAGTGGGAGTCGGTGGAGAAGGTGCAGAGGTGGGAATTGAACCCACACCCTTCAGGCCTGAAGGCCAGTGCTCTACCAACTGAGCTACTGTCGCCCCTATAATTGTCTTTATTTGCACTATTTCAAGGGTATTATTGTATATTAAAAGTTTTTAAAAAATGCCCCAGCTACAGTCAAAAAACTACAAAAATGTTCTCTGCAGCCAAAAAACCTATACAGCATCATTCAGAAAAGTCAAAGTAGATGGACAACCAAGAAGGCGAAGGATTTTTGACAAACTAATTTATATTGAATTATCATGAAGTATAACGTGCCATTGCAGCAGTCACAAACATACATCTGGTCAGTCACTCACATTCATCTAAATTGAAGGAGACAGTATGAAGTGTTGTGGCCATGGTTGCCTCTGTAAGCAGCCTGGGCTTTAGCTTCAGCTTGACGTGTGCTCTTTAACCCTTCAAGATCTAGGGCTATTTTGGAGAACATTCCTCGCCTGGTTTTCTTTGTGTATTAATGCTCATAAAAGAGTCATCTTGTGATGCAGAGTCAAATATTATACATTCTTTTTTTCAGTACAACCTGGGGATTAATAATATTCATACTATACTAGTGTCATATGAATGTGATAAAAGTTATGGAATCATAAAGACATTAGAAAAAAAAAAACGGAAAATAAATGTCTCAATCATTTATTGGAAAAACACCATGAACTTCAATGAACAACTTTTTACACTGTATAGATAGTTTCTTTGGGGTCTTGGGCATTATGTGTAAAAAAATGGAACCTGTAACTATATACATATTCACATAATGGCACAATTACTGCAAAAAAAACAGTCGTTTTATGCCTGATGCCACTCATGGAAACAGTTCCTGTCCATAACAAGGCAGAGAGACTCATCACAGGTTTCACACTTCCAGGGGGTGCTTTGAATTTTCTGTTTAGTGGTTCTGCAGTGAACACAGCTTTTTCTCCCATATGAGGCCCGCCTGCTTGGGTCTTCCTGCTGGGATACTGGCACCGGTAAGTGTTCTGCTGGGGCTTTCACAGGAGGCACAGTGGCCGACACACCACACAGCTGGGCTGTCAGCTCCTCCAGAAAGCGTAAATGAGACAACGGGGTCTCTCCCTTTTCTGTACACAACTCCTTGTGTAAAATGTACGCATTTGTGGCCACTATGTCCATAAAATGAAAAAAAAGGGTCCTGTACCAGCGTTTGGTGGAGTGGCGAATAGTGTAGTACTGGATGAGTTGATCTGACAGATCAACTCATCCCATGTGCTTGTTGTACTCCACAATAGGCTGAGGGCATGGAACGTCCCGGGTGACCCATTTGCCGTCATTACCTTTGAAGCGCCGTCTTGCTGTTGCACCTTCGTAAGCCGGATGGATGGTGGAGCAGATGGAAACTTCACGCGAATCCATCCACTTCACAAACACTAGTGGGCCCTCCCTGATCCACCGTATTGTGCCCCTTTCGTCTTTTTTTTTCATCGAGTTGTTTTCGATGTGGGGACATCCTCTCCTGTTATCCCTGTATGTGCCACAAGCACCGATGTTCATGCTAAACAAGTCCATGAACAGTTTTGGGCTGGTGTAGAAATTATCCACATACAACTCGTAACCACCGCCCAGGAATGAGGGATTTACAAGGGAAAGGACAGCATCGTATGCTAGTCCCACACCGGAGGAAAACTGGGACTTCCCTGTGTAAATAGCAAAGTCCACTGTATAGCCATTGCTGCTGTCTGCCAAGACAAAAAGTTTGAATCCCCACTTTGTCGGCTTGGCCTTCATATACTGCGTCATTCCTGTGTGAGCCTTTGTTGCCACCATTCTTTCATCTATGGCAATGTGCTGTCTTGGGTGGAAGTGCGTTTTACATGCTATCAGGATGGTGTCCAGAAGTGGCTTCAGTCGGAACAGTTTATCATGCTGAGGGGTTCCTTTTGTTTGGTCATTCTTGGCATCCTGCTCCGGGTCACTTATATGAATGTTCCAGGAGATGGTCAGGTACCGATCTCGAGCCATCACTTTTGCGGGAAAACCTACACTGAAAATGGAGTGTTGTCTCCAATAGTCTGTGACCTTACAGAGCTTCAACAGTGCAAAATAAAACATGAGTCCAATAAATTTTTGCAGCTCAGTTTCTTCCAGTGGGGTCCATTTGTATTTTTTCCCATTTGCTATGTTCTTTGCTGCCTGTTTGTTTGTATTTGTGACGAGATTGGATATAGCACTTCTGTCCACAAACAACAAGAACAAATCCAATGGACTATAGGATGTGGATGTAACGAGCTGGTGTCCTGGTTTCCTTTTTGGCGTGAACTTTTTTGGCTGAAAATTGGTGTCTGGATCCTGTTCACTATTCCACCTGGCTTGATCCAGTGCAGGCCCGGGCCGTGGTGGAGATCTGCTGCGAGCTGTAGATCTTGTGCCCACTGTAGATCTGCTGCGGACTCTGGATGCACTTCTGCGTCTTGTTTTGCCCCTTGTTGAAGAGGAAGTGGGGGAGGGGAGAAGTGAAGGTGTTGGAGGTGTGAAGTGGGGGGCTGGAACAAAGGTGGAGGTGCTAGCCACACTGGTGGAAGGAGTTGGAAGCTCTTCACGACTGTAAAATAAGTAAAACAATAGAAACTAAGTAAAACAAATGAAATAAAAAAACATGTGGTATGTGCTATATAACATTTCACATGATCTATTATTGTCAGTGCAAATAATAAACACATCACGACTGTAAAATAAGTAAAACAATAGAAACTAAGTAAAACAAACAAAGCACTTACTCTTCAGCCGGGTCCTGGCGATCACAATAATCAAATTCCTCATCGGTATAAAAACTTTCTGGCTCAGACCCTGTATCATCATCACTTGCGCAGATTAGATCCAGAGCTTCTGCAGCTGTAAATAACTTCCTTGCCATTTTGAACAATTACTTTGCAAAAAGAATCGGAGGAGTTTTCGTGCGTCTGTCTCTAGTGCGCGTCTTCTGTAAATAGATGAGACGCGTCTTCTCACCTCTGTGTGACTGAGAGCATGTGTGACCAAGAGCATGAGTGACCATTTCCGGGTCTTTTTGTGAAATAAAAAAATAAACTACAACACGTAAGAGGGCTTACAGTGCTATGAAAAACAGTAGGGTTTACATTTTTCATAGTTACAATGAAACAAGTCTTTTTGCGCATCAGTAATAATAATCAGAGCCGTAGTTTCAACCACAGAGACCACTTTGTAAACGCAGAGAAGAAATTATCTCTCTTCCTGCTGATCTTTGGCACCGGCATGAGCGAAAACGGCTTTGCAATTGGATATTTCATGTCACATGTGGTAGCTCGAAAATCCGATTGGACACTGAAACTCCAATAGACATAGAATATCCCCTGTGCGTCACACGGACAATCCGGAACCAGATTCATGGAGCCTGAGGGGTTTTCTTCGCGGAGAAAAAAAAAGTAAGGCGCTAGCTTTTACCGTTCGTGATTAAACTGATGACTTGTAAAACATGTGCGCCGTTGTCGGCGACGACAACATCGTTGATTAAGGGTTAAAAAATAAACAGATGGAATGTCCAGACTTACGGAATAACGGAGAAATGTGGTTTTAACGGAGGCACAGGCTTCATGGTTCCACATCAGACAGTATCAATCCCACATCCAATGCAGTTATCCACAAAATAGCACAGTCAAAAAACTGTTGGGCCTAAACCAAGCCCCGGCGATCCAAGATGGCGGCGTATTCAAATGAATGGTTTGTGCTCAGTGGCGCTTTGTCGCTGACATATTAGCGGAACTTGCAAAGATCTATGGGCCTGTATTTGGGCATCGTCTGGTCCTCCCGGTTCTGCGCAGTGGATTATCTCCCATGATGCATTGCGCCAAATACGCGTGTGTGGGTCTGAGGGGCTCGTGTGTGGCAGTAAAGTGTGGATTTAAAGAAAACCGAAGGATTTTAGAAGAAAAAAAGTTCAGGATGACAAGGGACACTAACAAAATCTGACCTTCATGAAAGCTGTGGGTTCTCTGTCAGGTTCTCTGTCAGGTTCTCTGACAGGTTCTCTGTAGGTTCTCTGTAGGTTCTCTGTAGGTTCTCTGTCAGGTTTTCTGTAGGTTCTCTGTCAGGTTCTCTGTAGGTTCTCTGTAGGTTCTCTGTCAGGTTCTCTGTCAGGTTCTCTGTCAGGTTCTCTGTAGGTTCTCTGTAGGTTCTCTGTAGGTTCTCTGTCAGGTTCTCTGTAGGTTCTCTGTCAGGTTCTCTGTAGGTTGTCAGGTTCTCTGTAGGTTCTCTGTAGGTTCTCTGTAGGTTCTCTGTAGGTTCTCTGTCAGGTTCTCTGTAGGTTCTCTGTAGGTTCTCTGACAGGTTCTCTGTAGGTTCTCTGTAGGTTCTCTGTAGGTTCTCTGTAGGTTCTCTGTCAGGTTCTCTGTAGGTTCTCTGTCAGGTTCTCTGTAGGTTCTCTGTAGGTTCTCTGTAGGTTCTCTGTCAGGTTCTCTGTCAGGTTCTCTGTCAGGTTCTCTGTAGGTTCTCTGTCAGGTTCTCTGTAGGTTCTCTGTAGGTTCTCTGTCAGGTTCTCTGTCAGGTTCTCTGTCAGCTGAGTTCAAGCTGTTTTTGTTTACATTGAGTTCTATGGGGAACATATCTGTGTAGCCCGCGTGAATTTAGTCTGGTTTAGTCTGCAGTACCACGAGAATCCCCCGAGCACATGGATCTTCAGCTATAAACTAGCAATACTCTGTCTATCCAGTTATTATTATCCATGGCCTAAACCCAGGTCAGCTTCCACATTACGCTCACGGGTTCCCCCTACTGTCATTAAAAGGAACTGCACTTTACCTGGCCCCACCCAAACACACACAAAATAAAGCATAGGGGCCTACCAAAACAACTATTCTATTAACTTAGAATTAGCATTGTCTTAATGGGAAATAAAACAGCCTTTCCATGAAGTTTGCGGTTGGGAAAAAAGTCTGAAGGCCACATCGAAAGTTCAATCAAATATTCTACAGACGAGTATTTTGCTTTTCTCCGCTGCTTCGTAAACTTGTTCTGTAAACGGCGTCGGTGGAAGTGGAAGTGGAGGCTGCTCTCTGGAGTTAGCCCGGTGTGTTCTGTTTGCACACTGACACAGATACAAATGTGTGTGTGTGTAATCTGTGTGGTGCAGAGCGGCTGTGTAAGTGTGATGAATGTAGTGTGTGTGGGTAAACAACACGGCGACGGCGGCTGACGGAGCTTCTCTCGCTCATGATGGAGACTATTTGTCTTTTGAAGCCTTTTACATTTGTCTTTTAAAGCAAGTCTTTGGAGCTGATACAATGTTCTGAGATGAGTTTTGGGTTTTTGATGAATGAGAGTGCGTTAAAACCAGTGTTCTAAACTCTCTTAAGGCTTAACGGAGAACTATTATGTACAATCAGGGAGTTGTTTTGGGAACTGACTGATTCCTGCACCACTCAACCTGGAGTCCTGGGTCTACAGCCTCAGTCCTGGGTCTACAGCCTCAGTCCTGGATCTACAGCCTCAGTCCTGGGTCTACAGCCTCAGTCCTGGATCTACAGCCTCAGTCCTGGGTCTACAGTCTCAGTCCTGGATCTACAGCCTCAGTCCTGGGTCTACAGTCTCAGTCCTTGGTCTACAGCCTCAGTCCTGGGTCTACAGCCTCAGTCCTGGGTCTACAGCCTCAGTCCTGGATCTACAGCCTCAGTCCTGGGTCTACAGTCTCAGTCCTGGATCTACAGCCTCAGTCCTGGGTCTACAGTCTCAGTCCTTGGTCTACAGCCTCAGTCCTGGGTCTACAGCCTCAGTCCTGGGTCTACAGCCTCAGTCCTGGGTCTACAGCCTCAGTCCTGGATCTACAGCCTCAGTCCTGGGTCTACAGTCTCAGTCCTGGATCTACAGCCTCAGTCCTGGGTCTACAGTCTCAGTCCTTGGTCTACAGCCTCAGTCCTGGGTCTACAGCCTCAGTCCTGGGTCTACAGCCTCAGTCCTGGGTCTACAGCCTCAGTCCTGGGTCTACAGCCTCAGTCCTGGGTCTACGCCTCAGTCCTGGATCTACAGCCTCAGTCCTGGGTCTACAGCCTCAGTCCTGGGTCTACAGCCTCAGTCCTGGGTCTACAGCCTCAGTCCTGGGTCTACAGCCTCAGTCCATAAATGTCCATCCTATTTCATTAGTATTTTCTGGTTGCTCGAACAGTCCCTGCTCCTCTGTTGTAGTTTTCTCCTGTGACAGCCTCGCTCCTCCGATGTAATTTGCGATAATGTAGTGTCCATACATCCTTCCGGACAGCCGTTATGGGGAGGGGACCGCATTTCCCATGATCCTCTGGGAGACGGGGATGCGAGGGGTTGCTGGGTTAATGTACTTGACCCAATGAAAAGCCCAGAGCAGAGCCTATGAACAGCCTCTTCACAGCCACCACTGAGGCTGATTTACGACGGAGACTAGGTCTACAGCAGCTCTCTCTCTCTCTCTATCTCTGTCTCTCTCTCTCTCTCTCTTCTATCTCTCTCTCATCTCTCTCCTCCACAGATCTCTCTCTCTCTCTCTCTCTCTCTCTCACAGATCTCTTCTCTCTCTATCCTCCACAGATCTCTTCTCTCTCTCTCTCTCTCCTCTTTCTCTCTCTCTCTCTCTCCTCTCTCTCTTCTATCTCTCTGTCATCTCTCTCCTCCACAGATCTCTCTCTCTCTCTTTCTCTCACAGATCTCTTCTCTCTCTATCCTCCACAGATCTCTTCTCTCTCTCTCTCTCCTCTTTCTCTATCTCTGTCTCCTCTCTCTCTCTCTCCTCTCTTTCTTCTGTCTCTCTCTCATCTCTCTCCTCCACAGATCTTCTCTCTCTCTCTCTCTCTCTCACAGATATCCTCTCTCTCTATCCTCCACAGATCTGTTCTCTCTCTCTCTCTCTCTCTCTCTCTCATCTTTCTCTATCTCTGTCTCCTCTCTCTCTCTCCTCTCTTTCTTCTGTCTCTCTCTCATCTCTCTCCTCCACAGATCTTCTCTCTCTCTCACACACACAGATCTACTCTCTCTCTATCCTCCACAGATCTGTTCTCTCTCTCCTCTCTCCTCTTTCTCTATCTCTCTTCTATCTCTCTCCTCCACAGATCGGCTCTCTCTCTCTCTCTCCTCTCTCTCTCCTCTACCCTCTATCTCTCCCTCTCTCCCTCTATCTCTTTGTCTCTCCTCTCTCTATATCTCTCCTCTCTCTCTCTCTTATATCTCTCTCTCATCTCTCTCCTCCACAGATCTGCTCTCTCTTTCTCCTCTCCCCTCTCTCTATCTCTCCCTCTCTCTCCTCTCTCTCTCTTCTCTCTCACTCTCTCTCCTCTCTCTCTCTTCTCTCTCTCTCTCATCTCTCTCCTCCACAGATCTCTCTCTCTCTTTTTTTTCTCTCACAGATCTACTCTCTCTCTATCCTCCACAGATCTGTTCTCTCTCTCTCTCTCTCCTCTTTCTCTATCTGTCTCCTCTCTCTCTTCTGTCTCTCTCATCTCTCTCCTCCACAGATCTGCTCTCTCTTTCTCCTCTCCCCTCTCTCCATCTCTCCCTCTCTGTCACTCTCTATCCTCTCTCTCTTCTCTCTCAATCTCTCTCCTCTCTCTCTCTTCTCTCTCTCTCTTTCATTCAAATCAATCACACGCATTTGTATTTGCGGAGAATATTGAAATACTTTAAACCCAACATACAAATCTACACACTGCAAAAAGTCATTTTAAGGGAGACATCAGTTTGTTCTGTCCTGTTGGCCTTTCTCGTTTCAAGGCTCAGTCAGAATGTGGCCATGTTTTGACAGATTTTGCCAAATTTGAGCCATTCTTTACTTATTTCTCATCACTTTGCCTTTCATTAAATATTTTTTGTCAACTGTATTTTTCTGTTGTTTTGAAATCCTTTAAAATCCCTGTGTCACTTGATCCAGAACTATCATCTTTGGGTGCGTTCAATGCTACAACCCTGGGGGTTGACGGCGGAAAAGTAAAGAGACCCTTCCTTATTTTTTTAAATGTTTTTCCCAATACTGAACTCAGAACCTGAACGCGATAGAAGCAAAACTTAACTAATACAAGCCATGTACCTTGTCAGCTCTAACACATAATGAGGCAGTGTTAGTAGAAAAAGTAGGGTCAGGTGGAGCGGTCACACGATGGATGCATTTCAGCCGTAGCTTGAGTTGAGTTTTAAAGCTGTGGAGAGACGGGAACTCCCTGATCCACTGAGGATGGTCTAGATCTGACTGGCCCCTGACAGTTTGTCGTCTGTAGAGAACCACAGTCTCCTCTGGTCTGGCTCTGGTCTGGCTCTGGTTTGGCTCTGGTCTGGCTCTGGTCCTGACTCTGAGTCTGTCTACTGCAGCTCAGAAAACAGACGTTTAAGCTGCTTTTCAAAGAACATCTGTGACATGTTTGAGTCTGAGTTGGTGCATATGGCACTGAGGAGCACAGGGACTGGCCTCCTGCTGGGACTCTGAGGAGCACAGGGACTGGCCTCCTGCTGGGACTCTGAGGAGCACAGGGACTGGCCTCCTGCTGGGACTCTGAGGAGCACAGGGACTGGCCTCCTGCTGGGACTCTGAGGAGCACAGGGACTGGCCTCCTGCTGGGACTCTGAGCAGCACAGGGACTGGCCTCCTGCTGGGACTCTGAAGAGCACAGGGACTGGCCTCCTGCTGGGACTCTGAGGAGCACAGGGACTGGCCTCCTGCTGGGACTCTGAGCAGCACAGGGACTGGCCTCCTGCTGGGACTCTGAGGAGCACAGGGACTGGCCTCCTGCTGGGACTCTGAGGAGCACAGGGACTGGCCTCCTGCTGGGACTCTGAGCAGCACAGGGACTGGCCTCCTGCTGGGACTCTGAGGAGCACAGGGACTGGCCTCCTGCCGGGACTCTGAGGAGCACAGGGACTGGCCTCCTGCTGGGACTCTGAGGAGCACAGGGACTGGCCTCCTGCTGGTCCCAGAGTCAGGACTAATCATGGGGAGGCAGCGTTTCAGATTTATGCATCTAAAAAATGGCGGGACAGGCTTCTTTCTATCGTTCAAATCTAGGTTAGTTTTGTTTTGCAGCAACTGAAGGATTGTTTATATACTTTTTTCTTTACAATACCAAAAACTTAAACCTGGCAAATAAAAGTCAGACATGGTAGGTGGAGCGAGTCCATGAAGTACTTATTATTCATTCTTGTGTCTTGTGTTTTTCTTCTTTCCACAAATGATTACGATTCATAATAATAGTCACAAACCATTGAAATATTTCCAACTCTATCTTAGTTTCAGTATTTTTTTTTGACAGAATTTCCCCATCTTTCTCACCACTCACTGGCGTTATCCCCCGCCTCCCCCTCTCTCCTCCCTGCTCCTCCCCTCCTCCTGCTCTGGTCCATGCAGCCGTGGTCATAGCTCAGAGTGGAGCCTCATCGACAGTGAGCTCACGTGCAGCCGGGGCACAGCGCCTCCATTTTGGAAACAGCAGATCTGCAGCTCAGGCCGGTCTCATTCAGACAGGGACATGGGCTTTGGTGCTGATGGGACGTAGAGAAAAGATCTCTGACAACATGGCCGACTTGAAGCTTCAAGCGAATGGAAATCAAGCTTAAGCATAAGTATTGTACGTTTGGATCAAAGTCGCTGCTGGGTCTGTGGAAGTATCTGTGGAAGTATCTGTGGAAGTATCTGTGGCAGTATCTGTGGAAGTATGTGTGGAAGTATCTGTGGAAATATCTGTGGAAGTATGTGTGGAAGTATGTGTGGAAGTATCTGTGGAAGTATCTGTGGAAGTATCTGTGGAAGTATGTGTGGAAGTATCAGTGGAAATATCTGTGGAAGTATGTGTGGAAGTATCTGTGGAAGTATGTGTGGAAGTATCTGTGGAAGTATCTGTGGAAGTATGTGTGGAAGTATGTGTGGAAGTATCTGTGGAAGTATCTGTGGCAGTATCTGTGGAAGTATCTGTGGCAGTATCTGTGGAAGTATGTGTGGAAGTATCTGTGGAAATATCTGTGGAAGTATGTGTGGAAGTATCTGTGGAAGTATGTGTGGAAGTATCTGTGGAAGTATCTGTGGAAGTATGTGTGGAAGTATCTGTGGAAGTATCTGTGAAAGTATGTGTGGAAGTATCTGTGGAAGTATCTGTGGAAGTATCTGTGGAAGTATCTGTGGAAGTATCTGTGGAAGTATGTGTGGAAGTATCTGTGGAAGTATCTGTGGAAGCATCTGTGGAAGTATCTGTGAAAGTATCTGTGAAAGTATGTGTGGAAGTATCTGTGGAAGTATCTGTGGAAGTATCTGTGGCAGTATCTGTGGAAGTATCTGTGGAAGTATCTGTGGAAGTATGTGTGGAAGTATCTGTGGAAGTATCTGTGGAAGTATGTGTGGAAGTATCTGTGGAAGTATGTGTGGAAGTATCTGTGGAAGTATCTGTGGCAGTATCTGTGGAAGTATGTGTGGAAGTACCTGTGGAAGTATGTGTGGAAGTATCTGTGGAAGTATCTGTGGAAGTATGTGTGGAAGTATCTGTGGAAGTATCTGTGGAAGTATGTGTGGAAGTATCTGTGGAAGTATCTGTGGAAGTATGTGTGGAAGTACCTGTGGAAGTATGTGTGGAAGTATCTGTGGAAGTATCTGTGGAAGTATGTGTGGAAGTATCTGTGGAAGTATCTGTGGCAGTATCTGTGGAAGTATGTGTGGAAGTATCTGTGGAAATATCTGTGGAAGTATGTGTGGAAGTATCTGTGGAAGTATCTGTGGAAGTATGTGTGGAAGTATCTGTGGAAGTATGTATGGAAGTATCTGTGGAAGTATCTGTGGCAGTATCTGTGGAAGTATGTGTGGAAGTATCTGTGGAAGTATCTGTGGAAGTATCTGTGGAAGTATCTGTGGAAGTATCTGTGGAAATATCTGTGGAAATATCTGCGGCGAGAAACTCAACGTGAAAAGCAACTGGACAAAGACTTCAAATTATTGTAAAAATGCAGTTCCAATTGTTACGAAATTTTAGCTACACATTCACATCCAGGATTCTCAATAGATTAATACATACTTTATTGATTCCTGTTGTAAATGATGCAGGTGTGCAGCAGCAGAAACACATCCATTCATAAAAAACATACAAATAAATACATCATTCTGAAAGTTACAAAGGTGTCGCCGCTGAGTGGAGCAGGACAGGTCTGATTGAATCTTAATATGTTGATCAATGAGGCAATGGCCATAGCTGCAGGTGAACACGGATCCCAACAGATCTCATAAGCTCAGCAAGGCAGGGTCTGGTTAGTACTGTGATGGGAGACCTCTGAGAAACCACAGTGTAGCGGGTGTTAAGTGAGAAACTGTCATTGCGTCCCTATGTAAGACCCTTCACCACTGTCGAGTGTGTGTGTGTGTGTGTGTACGACTGGTTGTGGTTGGACAGGCCTGTGGTGCATTGTAGTTGCCTCTGTTCTGTCAGTCTACCCCAGGGCATCTGTGGCTAAAGAAGTCATACCACATGTACAGAGTGAATGAATAATCTGAAGTGTAGTGCCATTATCATTCTTGAGATATGAAAGACTGTGTCCTTCAATCTGTGTTGCTTTAATCTCAGTATGGTCTGGAAATGGACGTTTTTATAACTTTGGGAAAACACAACATTGCAGTGATCAGGGGCCGTATTCCTAAAGATTCTAAGAGTCCTCTCAGAGAGCTCCTATCTTAACCTAAAAACTCCTAGCTAGGAGTCTTAGCTTAAAAGTTATTCCAGAACACTCTTAGAGAACTCTGAGCAAGGAATTGACAACAACTCTTATCTTAGTGAGGGGGCGTGGCCGACCCCGTTGCTAGGTATGAGTCATCATTTCAGACGCTGTGATTGGTTGATCCTAAAAGTTAGAGAAACCATATTTTTGATAATGGGCAAAATAAGGATCCTCTAATGGACAAACTCAATCATAGAATCTAATCTTAGGAATACTGTGTCATTGTAAATAATTAGAAAAGGTAGAAAGTCAGATGTATTTAAATTGGAGCTTGCTCAGCACCAATTCATCACACATATTTAACAAACGTATATAACATGAGCACTTTATATATATATATGTATATATGTATGTATGTATATATAAATATATGTATATATATATGTATATATGTATATATGTATGTATATATATATATATATATATATATATATATATATATATATATATATATATATATATATATATATATATATAATTAGATGATTATAACATTAGGATTAGTAAAGGCTGTGATACTGAAAGACGTAAAAGGAATTAAGGAAAAAATATTAATGTAAGCATTTTATACATACACAAATCAAGTGCATGTTATTGTGAATGTCACTGTTGCATAACTGTAAATACACCATGGAATAAACTAAGCTGTAGCAACCACACTATTTAAGTTAATTTAGAATGATAGAGGGTGGGAGTTTAAAAGTATTAACTTCTTCACACTGGATTGCTGTTAATAAAACAAAACTGTTTATTTGTACATGATGACTTTTACATGATTGACTTTTAAACATGATTCCTGCAGGATCCAATCTGCAGTGTTTTACTGATTCACTGTCATCCAGTGTATAGAATATTTCTCCTGCCTCTACCGTCCACCATTTTGTCCTCTTAGGGAACTTTTAAGTTGCTAAAAGTCCTCCTCTCAACTCTTAAGGGATCTCACCTTAGGAGCACTCTTAAGAGCTAGGATTCTTTAGGAATAGCTTTTTTCTTAACTAGAAGCTACTCCTCACTTTTAGGGGAAATTCTAAGAGTTGGTCAAGATTCTAAGAAAATTCTTAGAATTTGGCCACTAGGAACAACTTTTAGCACTAAGAATCTTTAGGAATACGGCCCCAGGCCTTTAAGGTCTCGGCGACTTCACTTATGTCTGTGTTGTTTGGACAAGCTCCCACCTGCGGGTTGGTGTCTTTGTTGTGACGCAAACTCATATGAAATAATTTCTCTGTCTGAAAAAAAATACAACAACTGAATAAATGTAAACTGAATGAAGGGCATTTCTTCTTAACCCTTTAATAGTTTCTACAACCATTTGGTAGATCACCTTGAAGCTTGGAACTGAAATATATATATTGGGGCGTGTCTATCCCTTGGTTTTAGGCGCTTTTACATCAAACATAATTCAACCATTTGTTAAAGGCAAAAAACTAGGGGTTCAAAAACTAAAAATCTAAAAACATTTGCAATTAATGTATTGATATTATTTTTGTCGTCATAAGATCTAGGAATGCTTTGTGATACTTTGTGATCAAGTTAAGATAAGACAGACTTTATTGATCTCTGATGGAGAGGTAGAATCACTCAGTACAAAAGACAGAAGTGTGCAACATGTTAAAGGTTGAGATTATAGTCTGTGAAGGATATAATTATGTACAATAAAGAAGTCGCACAGGAACCCAACTCTAAACCCTGATCCTTCGGTTTGGTCTGGACTATTCTTGTGTGAATCCGACTCAGACATTGGGGAGGAACATGTTTATTCTTCACAGACCTCATTTCTCTTGAAGGGACCGCGACCTGCTGCTAAAATTGGTCTGAGGTGAAATCGTCTGAATTAAAACAAGGGACAACAAAAGGGCTTTGATCTGACATGAGGCTTGCATTGTGTGTATGTGTATACGTGTATATGTGTGTATGTGTGTGTGTATATGTGTGTACGTGTGTGTATATGAGTGTATGTGTGTGTGTATATGTCTGAATGTGTGTTTGTATATGAGTGTATGTGTGTGTGTATATGTGTGTACGTGTGTGTATGTGTGTTTGTGTGT